TTCTTGCTATAAATAAATTGCTGTGTCATTCCGAAGTTTATCTTTCCTGATTTTCCATGTGGCAATATAATCATAAATGATCTCTGATCAGAGAAATTAATCTACCAGACATCACATAGCATGTGAATATAATCTAAGATTATTAACATATTCACATTTCATTTCTTTTTTCATTTATTTTTAAAAAGAGAAGCAATCAATGTACAAACACCTGATATTCTCTTAATACTTTATTTCCAATATTTATCATTATATAATCTTATTTATTCGTATTTATTCAATTTTGTATTTAACCATATATAATCTTATATAAACATTGTAATAAATCAGTTTCAATCTCAATCTCTTAATACTTTACACTTCATTTATTTAACAGTGATAGAAAGAGAAAAAGAGAGAGATTGAGATTGAATATACTTTTATCAATCGTACACATAAGATTATATAAGGTTGATAGGAGAAGAAGTAAAATTAAATATTATTTTCATCAGACGAATCCCACTGAGGGTCGTCTGGTATAATGTCACGCCCTGAAGTCGTACAGATCTCCCTGACTATTGCCATGTCGAGGAATTGCTTCAGAACAGACCTCTGCTCAGGTCACAGGTACTCGTTCATCCTATTAGAAAGGAAGACAACAACGTCTTCTATATATATATACAGAGAAAGTATATTTTTTCTTCAAAAATTAATAATAAACGCTATGATGTTAAGTTGACATTTTTTCAATAGAATAGCCAATTTTTTTTTTTTTGCATTGTTAAAAAGATACAGATAATCCTTTTGAGCTTAGAGCAAAATTTCTAACACAATTTAAGAGGGGTACCAATAAGATTATTTTACCTATAAAGTTTTTATAGAGTGATAAAAAGCTTATTAATCTTTTTTAGTTAATTGGAGCTCCATTAATTCTTTAAGAATGATAAAGAAAGCTAACCTGAATCTTAATATAAAAAAAGACTAATAAAAAAAAGGGAATTTTGCTCCCTATTTCCTAGTTTATTAATTAATAAATGGAGAAATTTAAAGTGATAATATAATAATTTAAATTTATATATATAAATTTAATTGCCATCTATCGTTAAAATATTGCACAAATAAATTTACTGGCAATATGTTTCTTTAATTAATATCATCAAATATTATCTCTACAGACCTTACTGCAATGATATAAGTGATTGAATGAGGGGGCTTGGCTCTCATGTGTTTCTATTTCAATAATATCATCAAATATTATCTCTACAGACCTTACTGCAATGTTATAAGTTATTGAATGAGAGGCTTGGCTCTCATGTGTTTCTATTTCAATAATATCATCAGATTTCTTATCTCTACAGACCTTACTGCAATGATATAAGTTATTCAATGAGAGGGCTTGGCTCTCATGTGTTTCTTTTCAATAATATTGTAACATAGTATGTATTAATTTCTATGTAACATAGTATTTTTTTTTTCGCCGAGAAGACTTTGCTATGTAACATAGTATGTATTAATTTAATTCATACTATGTTACATAGTTAATACATACTATGTTACAATATCATCAAATATTATCTCTACAGACCTTATTGTAATTATTGCATTATATCATTGCACTAAGGTCTGTAGAGATATTATTTGATGATATTATTGAAAAGAAACACATTGCCAGTAAATTTATTTGTACAAAATTGAATTTATATATTTGAATAATATATATTTTAATTTATTGTAGAAATTTATTATTCGATAATCAGGTTTAGACCAATTTGTTTCAAAAATTAATTTAAACTTTTTACTTTCATAATTTCTGGTTAATAATTTCATGACTATTTAATATGTTTCAAAATATTTAGTATTTCTTTACCCTATGGTTTCCATATTATTGTTGTATATTTATGATATGATCAATTTTTTCAAAAATTAGGTTTTTTTAGCCTATTGTTTCATCATTGTTGTATAATTATTTTATGACCATTTTGTTTCAATAATTATATTTTACCATTTTTTTTCTTCCATTGTTCTAAATAATGAAGTTTCCAAGAATCCAAGAATTGAATTTTGCAATTTTATTTATGCCATTGTATGTATAATTATATATTTTCGCCATTGCCATGATTCCCTCATTATACTATATGTTTTCGCCATTTGGCTTTAATAAACAATGTGAAAAATAGTACAAATGTGATATTGTACTGGGATAAGGTACATAAATTAAGAAAAAGGAATCTCCTTATCGTGAAAATGAAATATTTTGCCCTTCGTAAATACGTTGCTGTATCACCTCATAAGCATAAATAAATAAATTAATTAATTTAATAAACAAGTTTTTACCATTTTTTCGCTCATTGTCCTATAATTTAATTTATTTATATATTTAAAATATAGACGCACTGCTAGTTCTGCTAGTTTTTAAATATCAGAATATTCATAAATTTCCTGCGACTAAGCTTTATGAAACCTCTTTTGAAAGAGAACGATAATGGATCATTGAAACATAGAAATAAATGATAAAAAATTGTTTAGGTAGTTGATTTTAAGCCTAAATAAATCTGCAAAATGTTTTCTTTCCTTATTCTGAACAAGTAGTTCTCAGAATATCGCTATGGAGATATCAGATCCAACAAAGTACGGGATCTAAGGCCTTAGATTGACGTGGGAAATAGCTATGTTCAATAAAGGTTGTTCACGGTTGTCATGTCTGGAATCTTTGACAAGAAGGATCCAATTGGAGTACACGACCTGGATCGTGAGACCTCCAATAAATGAACGTTCTCACAGATCCTTCGTGATGGAGAATTTACTTCTTCTGCGAATGGCTACGTGTGTCTAAATACCAATATTTTAAAACAACTGGAATAACATGATCTCACCACACATCACACTACCTTCTAAACCAATCACTGGCATCTTACACACCGCAACAAATGAATACATATTATATTCAATATTAACAACTAAAATATAAAGATGACCTCCTCCGAAATATAAAGAGCCAATATTAACAAGATGGATATCGGACGCAACCCATGAATGGCACAGAACAAGGGGAACAAGCAATAAGTATGTCATCTCAATTGATCTCAAAAATATCTCCTGGACATAAATTAAACAAAACCACAGATTTTGAGAGATGTGTTTCTTTTCATTTTATTAACGTCAAGCTTTCGGAACATCTCTGCCCTTCTACAAGTGAACATAAATAAACGAATAAAACGCCACCTGATGCCAAACTATTATAGTTTACTGTATTATATTATTACTGTAATAGTTTGGCTTCTCAGGCGGCGTTTTATTCATTTATTTGAGTTCTACTATAGAAGGGCACAGATGCCCGAAAGCTTGAGAAAACGTTAATAAAAGAAATAGAAGCTTATCTCCAGAAACCTGTGGTATTGTTTAAGAAGACATCAATCAATCATTTCAAGACTTTACCATCCTCTACAGAACACAATGATCTTCCATAGATTTTGCAAGGGTTTCTATTACACTCATGGACAAAACTAAAGGAAGTGTAATGTATTTGATGTTGCCGGTCGTCTGTTTATTTGTTTAAATAGACAGATGCAATTTTGTTCACACTTGGTTATCTCGTGTGTCTTCAATAAAGGATAATGTCTATCATATATATTTCAGAATTATTATCTGAATTCCGATATACATGGTAAAAGGTAAAACTTCCTTAAATTTTGTCCATGAGTATACCATGTTTATAACTTATGATATGTAATATCTATTACATATTTAACTGCATTTGATCATCCATCGATGAGTTCTACTACATTTCTGGCAGACACCATCGAAAAGCTAAAGCTCCATAGATATGATGAGTGATTGAATAGGAATAGGTGAATACGTTCACATGGGGAAAGGCAGGAAAATTACTGTATTATTTTGCTGTTGTATGGCGAATCCATACAGGGCAATGGGCCCTAATAAAAGTATTTTTGTTGTTGTTTGTTGAAAAGATTAATAGCGGAGTAGAGGTGGTGTGTTGGTACAATTACACTGTTGAATTACGATGAACAGAACTGACATCGGATACATAATAAGAACAAATGGATTAGAAACGACATTGATGTTGGAAAATATTGAAGAAAGAGAGGAAGATCTATAGCTGGAAGAGGTTAAGGAAGCTACCATTAAGTCATGAGCTGCGAGTGATGGTGACCAACAGAACAAATTGTAGAATATTTGTCCATATAGTCACTAAAAGTTGAACTTGACCCGGTAAACACTAACAACAAACCTAATATTTTAATAGCAAATTAAAAGTTACTTAAAAGTTAGCCAAATAGGAATGAAATTTTATCATTAATTAGGCATATATTATAACGATAATAGTATCTTTTAAAAAAATTATTTCCAGAAAAAAATATTCAAAATTCTATATAGTTGCAATAACTCACCATAGCATTAGTCTCATTTGCTATATAAAATAAATAATATTAAACTTTAAAAGAAAATCTTAGAAGGTTCCAAAATTTGAATATGTTCAAAACCTTAAGGAAAACTGAATATGCATTCTTTTATACATTTATGAAATCTATATATATAAAATTGAATGTCTGTCTGTTTGTTTGTTTGTTTGTACTCTATAGATTCAAAACCATACATCCAATCGCCGTAAAATTTTGGGATATTATTAGGTATATCACCGGGAAGGTTTTTGAAAAATAATTTCATGAATATCTTGAATATCCTTAGAGTTACTTGCAGATTTGTAGATTTAACTCGCAAGCAGCGCCCCCATTGTGACGATGATAACAAGTTTTCTTATCACTAAGTTTGTTATCTTAAATATTATTTATCAAAAGTAAGATTATCTCAGGATGACACGGCAATGTGACACGGGAAAAATGTTCACTAGATAAAACTATGATTTTCTATATGATATAAAAAGCCAACAATGAAGAATGAATGTAAGATAAAAAGCCAACAATGAAGCGTAAATCTACTTATATATTTGCCTTATTCTGTCTGTTTGTCTGTTTGAAGCTCACGGATGGGATTTTTCATAACCATCGGTGGTTCAGTGGTAGAATGCTCGCCTGCCACGCGCGCGGCCCGGGTTCGATTCCCGGCCGATGCATTTTTTTTTTTTTTACAATTTTTAAAACTCATTTATATATTATACAAGAATGACATCCACGGCGCCAATTTATAATTGTAACGAATAGTATTTGAATAAAAGCATTTAATCGGGTAAAACCCGGGCGTTGTCCGGGTCATTCGTATATAATAACTAGCGGACGTACCCGGCTTCGCCCGAGGTTTTACCCGAGTAAAGGTTTGTCTAACGAACATTTGTTAAAACAATTCTCTATAAACTTATAAAAAAAGAGATATATTTTGATAATTTGAAACTCGTAAATTTGAATCTCTCGATAAAGTGAACATTTTTTCCCGGTCTCTGTGTGCCGTGTCATCCTGAATTTTGTCTTTCATAATTTTCTACATTACAAAATCATCGTTTTATCTAGTGAACATATTTTCCCGGTCCCTTGATAAATACTCGATAAGTTGAATAAAATCATGGTCGTGAATCTCTCGATAAAGTGATTATTGGGGCGGGACGTTTCACAAGAGAGACATCCACGGCGCCAATTTATAATTGTAACGAATAGTATTTTAATTAAAACATTTTAAAAACACACAGTTTGGAACGGGACGTTTCACAAGAGTGACATCCATGGCGCCAATTTATAATTGTAACGAATAGTATTTGAATTAAAACGTTTTTAAAATATATACGCACTCGGGTAAAACCCGGGCGTTGCCCGGGCCATTCGTCTAGTATAATATAAAAAGCCAACAATGAAGAGTGAATGTAAGATAAAAAGCCAACAAAGAATAATGAATGTAAGATAAAAAGCCAACAATGAAGAGTGAATGTAATATAAAATGCCAACAATGATGAATGAATGTAAGATAAAAAGCCAACAATGAAGAGTGAATGTAAGATAAAAAGCCAACAATGAAGGGTAAATGTAATATAAAAAGCAAAAATGAAGAATAAATGTAAGATAAAAAGCCAACAAAGAAGAGTAAATATAATATAAAAAGCCAACAATGAAGAGTGAATGTAATATAAAAAGCCAACAATGAAGAGTAAATGTAATATAAAAAGCCAACAATGAAGAGTGAATGTAAGATAAAAAGCCAACAATGAAGAGTAAATGTAATATAAAAGCCAACAGAGTGAATGTAAGATAAAAAGCCAACAATGAAGAGTGAATGTAATAAAAAAGCCAACAATGAAGAATGAATGTAAGATAAAAAGCCAACAATGAAGAGTAAATCTATATATATATATATATATATATATAAAAGTCAATTTCTGTCTGTCTGTCTGTTTCGCGATAAAATCAAAAACTACTGAACCAATTGGTACCAAATTTTGCATGTCGCTTTTTATAAACCCGAGGAAAATTTTGGGCTGCATTTTGATTAGTATTTTTGGCTATTTCTTTTTTTCATTCGAATAACTTTTTTTTTACGCGAAATAATCCGGAATGGAATGAATACCTAAATATGGCCATTTTTTTAAGCATCGGTGGTTCAGTGGTAGAATGCTCGCTTGCCACGCGGGCGGTCCGGGTTCGATTCCCGGCCGATGCATTTTTTTTTTACAATTTTTAAAACTCATTTATATTATCTTATATATATAAAATTGAATGTCTGTCTGTCTGTACTCTATAGATTCAAAAACCATACATCCAATCGCCGTGAAATTTTGGGATATTATTAGGTATATCACCGGGAAGGTTTTTGAAAAATAATTTCATGAATATCTTGAATATCCTTAGAGTTATTTGCAGATTTGTAGATTTAACTCGCAAGCAGCGCCCCCATTGTGACGATGTTAACAAGTTTTCTTATCACTAAGTTTGTTATCTTAAATATTATTTATCAAAAGTAAGATTATCTCAGGATGACACGGCAATTTATTTGCGACAAGAATAATGATACAATTCCAAGGCGAAGATACTATTCCTTTAACTTCCAATTACCGAGGGAACCAATTAATATTGATTTTATTCAACTTATCGAGTATTTCTCAAGGGACCGGGAAAAAATGTTCACTAGATAAAACTATGATTTTCTAATGTAGAAAATTAGGAAAGACAAAATTCAGGATGACAAGGCACACAGGGACCGGGAAAAAATGTTCACTTTATCGAGAGATTCAAATTTACGAGTTTCAAATTATCAAAATATATCTTTTTTATTTTTTAATAAGTTTTTAGAGAATTGTTTTAACAAATGTTCGCTAGACAAACCTTTACTCGGGTAAAACCCCGGGCGAAGCCGAGTACGTTTTATATGTTTAAAGATAATTGTTTTAACAAATGTTCGTTAGACAAACATTCACTCGGGTGAAACCCGGGCGAAGCCGGGCACATCCGCTAGTCTTTATAATAAAGTGAAAAATTTTATTTTTCTACTCTAACTTAATGAGTGTAATAAAATATAAATTTTCACTTTCGAAAAATAAGTTTACCTACCTAAAAGTAAAAGTTAAAAATAATAATCAATTTTTATGATGAGTAAAATTTTGATTTATACACTTATGGAAAAACCTTAAAGAAATTATACCTTTTAGTTTCTTAAGAAAAGAAAAAAAGGCATCTCCTTATAAGGAAACTGAAGGTTGCTGATTGCTTGCGCCATCTACCGAAATAAATATCAACTATTCGTTGATTTTTAATTATTTCAAAATTGGCCAAATACTTATTCTTGATTAATCAAGATAAGCTAACCACGTATGCGTTTCGGGCTGTAGTTTCTTGTACAATTTTATATTTCTAGCTTTCGGGCTAACTTGTCCTTCAACAGGAGCAATTAAGAGTATATCTTTTAGTTAGCTATACACTAGTTGTTCTGTTGAAGGGCATGTTAACCTGAAAGCTAGAGAAATACAATTTTACAAGAAACCTAGACCTAGATGCTTTATTTATTTGATCAAATTAACTAAAAAGTATTATGATGCATTAGCGCGCCATCTATTATGAAAATTCGAAACTATTATAGACGCGTATGGTAGACTAAACTGGCGAAACCGCTGAGAGGGTCACCACTGATGAGCTAGGCCCTCCCATTAATTTTTCCATTGCAGTAAGGGCAGTAGAAATTGTTCAATATTCAAAAATAATCATACGTGTCTAGATTAGTTTCAATTTATTCATAACTAGACAGTAGCGCACAATTAAGATACATTTTAACATCCTAATGTTGTAAGAGTTTTCAAATTTATTTTGTGTTATCTAATTTGATCTTTTCTGATAAAAATTAGTTCAAATTATTTATTTTTCAACTGGAGAATCAGTAAGTTAATTAAAGAAGGGGTTTAAATGAGAAAATTTCTGTGAATCTCTGAATAGAATTGTGTGAAGAATCCCAAGAGAGGTAAATTTTCATTAATGATATGGAACTGTTCCAGATTTCTCCACAAAGAGAAGTTAAGCACCAAGGGTCGAAATGTCCTCTGGGATTTCTATGGAATAATTGCTTTATAAGAAGATTGGACTTTCCATTTTGTTATGGAAACTGGGGTAGAATGAACTGTAGTAGAATACATAATTCAATGATCAATTAGATTCTAGGTGTAGATCAGTAAGCTAAGGTAAAATAAAAAAAAATTGGAAACTTAAAAACTGGAAAATAATAAAACACAGTATTTTTCTTAACATTTTAATTTATTAGATAATAAAAAGGTATATATTGGATTTATATATATATATATATATAATAAAAGATTTATTTGCGAAAATTTCTGTTAGCTGAACGCCAAACCTTTATCAAGGTATTACATTTTTGTATACACTTTTCAAAACGATTTTAATCTATATGTTGATGAATCATCTGGCTTCGCCTGGTTCTTACCTGAAAGTGAATGTTTACCTATCCAATATTGTTTCAACAAAATAACTATTGGGCTTTGTTATTATTTGAGTCAAAAGGAGATCCATTGAATAATTTTATACCACTAGATGGCACTCTGCCATCTAAAAATGCTCAGTGAGCTGTCAGGAAATGCCAATTTTGTTTTTAATATCAACACCTGACCATTTTTTTCTTATTTTTTCAAACACACATAAGGATACACTTGGAAACATAAGAAAAAGTATGCAATATACGAGTATTTTATGATATTGAAGTTGTGGGAAAATTAATAAAACAGTTTTATTCATAATTTTAGTACCCTGTAAGGGCTCCTGATCCAGGGATACAGGATGAGCAGCGTTTGTACTCCTTGTTAGGAGCGGCTGCACATGACGTCTGTTCCTCATGTCAGAGGCGGCCATTTCTTTTGGAGCTAAGTCGGCCTGCCACTGAATAGTGCTCCCAGTCTTAATGACAAAGGCAGACGCATTCTACTTCACCCAATTATGATGGTTGTCAAACAGACACCATCAAGGGTCACAACTTGATACCCTAATATGATTGACTAGACGAATGGCCCGGGCAACGCCCGGGGTTTACCCGAGTGCGAATATATTTTAAAAACGTTGACTTGGGTGGTCGCTATTAACAGGGTGGTCTGTATAGACAGGTGGATGTATCACACAGCTGATAACAGGGTTGTCTAGAGTGGTCGCTATAGACAGGGTGGTCTGTATAGACAGGTGGATGTATCACACTGCTGATAACAGGGTTGCCTAAGGTGACCGCTATAGACAGGGTGGTCTGTATAGACAGGCAGCTGATAACAGGGTTGTCTATAGTGGTCGCTATAGTCAGGGTGGTCTGTATAGACAGGTTTATGAGAGAGGCAAACTTACAGGTTGTTGACGCCGCAATCCCCAGAGAGAGTGTTTTTTGTTGCATCATGCTGTGACTCACACGATGACCCAAGGTCAACAGGGGTGGAGCAGCAAGCTTAAGCCTATCACCGTCTGGCGGCGCTGCTTGCGAGTTATATCTACAATTCTGCAAATAACTCTAAGGATATTCAAGATATTCAAGAAATTATTTTTCGAAAACCTTTCCGGGGATATACCTAATAATATCCCAGAATTTCATGGCGATTGGATGTATGGTTTTTGAATAACAGGGTTGTCTAGAGGGGGGCAGGGAGGACACGTGTTC